AACTCCGAATGAATACAGGAGATCAACAGCAAGAGTGAGCTTCCAATGCAATTGGTTGAGCAGATTGTTGGACTAGAACACAACATGAGCCACGACGGCACAGTGGTTAGGATGCAGTATTGCAAGGTAATTCTGCCAGCTACCTCCAGTTCGATCCTGACCAGCTCAAGATTGACTCAGCCTTCCGTTTGTCTGTGGTCGATAAAATGAGGACCCAGATTGTTGGGGGCAATATGCTGACTCTATAAACCACTTAGCGAGAGCTGTAAAGCACTATGAAGTGGTATATAGGTCTAAATGCTATTGCTAAGTGCTATTGCTATTATCCAGCAGAGTAATTCCCAGGGTCTATAATAATAATAATAATAATAATAATAATGTATTAGGATGGAATAAAACTTTAAGAAACATTAGAAATTTCCTTCAAAATTGCAACTTACCTAAGTTTTGTTAAAGTATATAAATGAGAGTATGGTTGAAAGACTTTTTTAATGCCCTAAAACATGGCCTGTATCCTTAAACCCTGAGTTTTGGGTGCTAACATTAACTGCACTTTTGCAAGAACAGTAGGCATATTTATGTCACTGAAAGAAGAAAGTGTTCTACTCTGTTCTGAACCAAGCCTTCCACAAATACAGTTGAAAACCCCAATTCTAAGATATTCAGGAAAAACAAACATTTGGGGGGGTGTCTTCTAGTATTTTATGTATGAATACAATGTCAGTATATGAACATATGTCATTAAGAATTTTTATAGTTGGAACGGTATCAAGAAATGCTATGGATTATCATACGATGCAATGAACATGCAGATCTCTCCATATAGTTGTAGCTTCTGTCAGTCATCTTTTGGAAAGAGATTATATGCATCTTCAAAGGATTGGTCTTTTCCACTGAAGAGAATGTCCACCTTTGATAACAAAAAAGCAGCAGCCATGCTTTGGAGTTTAGGAGAAGACAGAATCATTTCTAGATACAATTTAGAAAGTTAGGATCGTCCTATAGATCTGCATAGTCCAGCATCATTTCCATGTAGACTGGCTGACCTGTGTAAATTTATCACTAATTTATTCAATGTCACAATAGGATTTCACAACATGTCAGGGTTAGCCCAATGTGTCAACAGGCCTTAGGAGCACATTATACAATTTATCTTCAGTGTTGTATCATTGTATCTCTGTCATCTGCAAACAACCCATACATTTGCGTGAAACATATTTGACAAAGTATTTTACCAAGCTGAATTTTTAAAAAATTAACCAAAGAAAAATGCACTAATAGATTCCGTAAATCTAATTTATTGCTTCACAGGAAATATATTAACAAAGTCAGAGCTCACCTCAAAAATCAAGTAGGTAAGTATACCATGCATTTTACAAAGTAGTAATCTACTTGAAATTTCCTAGTACTGTAGAAAATATACATAATTTGTAATAAATATTGCACACATCCTCCAAACTGCCGTAGGATGGAAGAGAAATACTATATGCTATTATTTTCTTCTTTCTTTTTTATCCCCAGTATCAAGTTTCTTGTGTTATTATTATTTGCAATAAATAATCACTGTATATATTTTAGTGTGCACATAAATTCAGATAAGAACTAAATTACAGCAAGAAAAATACACATCCATCAAATCAAAATATGTAAAAATAAATGCAGGAATACAATATGTTTTATTTATTATAATGTATGAAGACCTTTAAAAATTGTGAATATATCTAGGCAGGACACCAAATGATGAGTATATGCCATACATGCAAAGGTNCTGTGGGAGCGTATCGGCCGGTGGGAGGTAATCTGTGGCAGAAGGCGGTCTCGGAGGTAACCAGGTCCGATGCCATGGCGCGCTTTAAAGGTGATAATCAGCACCTTGAAGCGCACTCGGAAGACCACAGGCAGCCAGTGCAGCTCGCGCAGCAGCGGCGTTACATGGGAGCGACGAGTCGCTCCCATCACCGCCCGCGTGGCCGCATTCTGAACTAACTGGAGCCTCCGAGTGCTCCTCAAGGGAAGCCCCATGTAGAGAGCATTACAGTAGTCCAGTAGTTGGAATGGTATCAAGAAATGCTATGGATTATCATACGATGCAATGAACATGCAGATCTCTCCATATAGTTGTAGCTTCTGTCAGTCATCTTTTGGAAAGAGATTATCTGCATCTTCAAAGGATTGGTCTTTTCCACTGAAGAGAATGTCCACCTTTGATAACAAAAAAGCAGCAGCCATGCTTTGGAGTTTAGGAGAATACAGGATCATTTCTAGATACAACTTAGAAAGTTAGGATCGTCCTGTAGATCTGCATAGTCCAGCATCATTTCCATGTAGACTGGCTGACCTGTGTAAATTTATCACTAATTTATTCAATGTCACAATAGGGTTTCACAACATGTCAGGGTTAGCCCAATGTGTCAACAGGCCTTAGGAGCACATTATACAATTTGTCTTCAGTGTTGTATCATTGTATCTCTGTCATCTGCAAACAACCCATACATTTGCGTGAAACATATTTGACAAAGTATTTTACCAAGCTGAATTTTTAAAAAATTAACCAAAGAAAAGTGCACTAATAGATTCCATAAATCTAATTTATTGCTTCACAGGAAATATATTAACAAAGTCAGAGCTCACCTCAAAAATCAAGTAGGTAAGTATACCATGCATTTTACAAAGTAGTAATCTACTTGAAATTTCCTAGTACTGTAGAAAATATACATAATTTGTAATAAATATTGCACAACATCCTCCAAACTGCCGTAAGATGGAAGAGAAATATGCTATTATTTTCTTCTTTCTTTTTTATCCCCAGTATCAAGTTTCTTGTGTTATTATTATTTGCAATAAATAATCAATCTGTATATATTTTAGTGTGCACATAAATTCAGATAAGAACTAAATTACAGCAAGAAAAATACATATCCATCAAATCAAAATATGTAAAAATAAATGCAGGAATACAATATGTTTTCTTTATTAAAATGTATGAAGACCTTTAAAAATTGTGAATATATCTAGACAGGGCACCAAACGATGAGTATATGCCATACATGCAAAGGTTCATTGATCCTAAATTAAATCAAGAATAGGAATACCATAACCTTCCTGTAATTCCTCAATTCCTCCAAAATTTCTCATTAAATGTGGTGGGAAAATAATGATTTGGGGCAACATGAATAATTTTGGGGAAATTAAAGCTAAAATAGAGATGTAAAGCTTTTGAAAACCTAAATGTAGTAGTAGTAGTAGTAGTAGTAGTAGTAGTAATAGTAGTAGTAGTAGTAGAATTGGAAGGGACCTTTGAGGTCTTCTAGTCCTGTGGTGGCAAACCTATGGCATGCGTGCCACAGGTGGCATGCAGAGCCTTCTCTGTGGGCACACGCGCCCTTGTCCCAGTCCTAGGCCTTCATCTGGGTTTTATAAAACCTTTTCGCTTTAGGCCTCTGCCGCCGTGTGCAAAAAAAAAAGGTTCAATCAATCAATCAATTTCAACTTCTCGTGGGAAAAAAAAGATCTCGCAAAGTTGGAATTGATTGATTGAACTTTTTAGTCCCACCCAGTCTGCCGTTACCACCACAGCCATGCCCACCCAATGGACCACACCCACCCAATGAGCCATGCCCACCCGGCACCCAATAATACATAAGTGGCAGTTTGGGCACTTGGTCTCTAAAAGGTTCGCCATCACTGTTTTAGTCCAATCCCCAGAAAGGAAACCCTATACCATTGCAGACAAATGGTTGTCCAGTCTCTTCTTAAAAACGTCCAGTGTTGGAGCATTCACCGCTTCTGGAGGCAGGTTGTTCCACTGATTAATTGTTCTAACTGTCAGGAAGTTTCTCCTCAGTTCTAGATTGCTTCTCTCTTTGATTAGTTTCCATCCGTTGCTTCTTGTCCTGCCTTCAGGTGCTTTGGAAAATAGCTTGATTCCCTCTTCTTTGTGGCAACCCCTGAGATATTGGAACACTGCTATCATGTTTGGCCCTCAAAACTGTCAATATTTTCTACACTGACTCATTCTGTAATATCTGTATATTATAGCAATGCCTGTTGGGACAGACTTTTAAAAAAATCAAAATATATTAAAAAAAGTTGTTCACCCCTGGATTAAAGAATTTAATGTAGGAATTCCAGGAAAGATCCCTCCTTAAAAAATCCCCCCAGAATAAATTATACTGGCTATGAACCAGTTCAGTTAGCCTGCTGAGCACAATGATGCATTCCAAAATATTGGGTTAGCAATCACATGGAACATTTACCTGACCAGGCTTCTTATTTAATGTTTGGATATGAAGCGGGACTTTCCATTGAAATTGGAACACAATTCCTATGAGAGCTTTGTGCACATATCAAAGTTTACACAGGCAGTCAATATTTATAGCATATCTAGGCATGCAGTTCAGCCAACAGTCATTGCTTTCCTATTCCTTCCATTTCTAAGGAATTTATAACAAGAAAGTTTAATAGTTTGGAATATTGCCTGTAGCTCATTATATTGAAAGTCAGTAATAAAAGTCAAATGTTTCATGGTGGTCCACTGTTTAATTTAATTGTTCCTTTAAAAATAACCAGGAAAATATAAATGTTATTAATCGTTAAAAAGTTGATGAATTTTCCCCAGCTTTTGAATTTATTTTTAATGCCATTCCTATAAGCATGAAAGAAATAAAAAAATAAAAGTAAGTCCAATGATACCAATGTTAATTAGAAATTGGAATTTCAGCATGATTTTTAAGATCTTGCTAAAAATGTTTTTTTTTTAAAAAAATTAATAATCTCTGTGGTGGGCACTTTTAAACCTATTTTGAATTATACTGTAGTAACAAAAAGGCAGTGGTTTCTCTAAAACAGGGAAAGATGGGGGGGAGGAGGGGGAGGAGGAGGAGTGGGTATTCTTTTAGTCCTAATAGAAGAAGGAACTATTTTCCATAAGCTAGAGATCTGTAAAATCAAAATCTTCCAGTTGCCAGACCATTTTCAGAAAAATTAAAAAAGAAAGTATGTAATGCTCATTCAGGAAGGCGACAACAAGCAGGATACTGAAATGGTAGCATGATTTCTCCTACTTAGAGGAGCCCCCTATGTAGTTATAATGCTATTAAACACATACCTTAGAATGGGACTGAATTTTCTGTATATTTTTATATAGGATAGGAATGATCTATAAAGTAAACTATTTCAGTTTGGATTATGCTGCACAGGTACCTTAAAACAGATCTCAGAAATACAAAGTTCCAAATACAGGGGGCTTTTCTCATATAAAGGTTTGGTAGTACATTTTCATTGACATAAATAATACATGTCCGTTTTTCAGACAAAGAATCTCTTTCATAAATTAGTCCTCTCGCACCACTAAATTGTTGCTCACTGATATAAAAGTGACTAACATAGGACAAACAAATGGAAGAAAATGCTATCCTAGAACACATATTAGAAAAATTTTTATATATTATTTTTATATTTATATATTACTTTTATGAAAAAAAAAAGTTTTGTTCCGTGACGGAAGCAAACCAAGTGTCTTTATTACTTTCAAGTTCCTTTGTGAAGTTCTTCCATTTTCATCTGCTAAATTGTCTTCTTTGTCACATTATGCCAGCTCAATGTCTCCTGCGTAGAGAGTGATGAGCAGGATTGCAGTGAACCCTGTGAGCAAGCCAGCATTTTGAATCAGGAAAAAAATGAGATCTGTTTTTCTTCCAGTTACTTTTTCTCGCAACATGTCGTTCATCTCTGGGAACTGGAGTTGCCATGGAAATAAAACCGCACACACAAAAAAAAGAGAGAAATAATTTTACAGTAAGTAAGTTTTGCCATCTAGTGGCAAATAGAATAGCATGATAGTATAATCAATTTTTAAAATGCATTCCTTTTTACTTTTATAGGGGTTTTTTTGTACATTACTGGTAAGATTGGTTATGATTTTTAAGTTGCAAGGAAAAAGGGTTTAATGATTTGGGGGATACACCCATCTTGGATAGTAGGACCAATTACCTCACCAAGACACAGACAAGAAAAAAGAAGCTATAGTTATTTTTAGTTCTCTATTCTTAGATTCTTAGGGACTTCCTCACCTATCCATCTTAGACAGAAAACATTTTATTGGTACCAAATGTAATTAATACTCATTTTGCTTGGGGCAACCTATCATGAATGAAGAGTTAAGCTGAGGTTCAAATCTAGCTGGAAAACCTGACAAGTTAAAATGTTACATAGGTAGAAAAAAAATAAAGCTGTTTCCTTGTAGACCTTTCATTACTCAGCTAGGCTAACATAAAAAAGTGCAGGATATGTTCCCTGTTTATAAGCAGTAGCTTCCCCTTCCAGTTTTGGTCAGTGGGTGGTTTTCTCCTTGGTATGTCTTTGAATAGGGTATTGTTTTCTGCTTGACTGTTGTCTAATGTTAATCCCTACTTATCTAGCTGTTGGCTGCTGGAGATTGTGTATAAGACTGTCCATGCAACATGTTCCAACAAAACGGATATCCATACAACTTTATCAACTCCATCCACTACAACACAACCAATACAATGTATGAAAAAAATAATATTACCTTGTCACAAGCATTTCAGAAACAAACAACAGACTATTGTCGCCAAGACTTCATAGTAGCACACAAATCAACTAAAGTCCTCCAAAACATCTTAAGTAAACCAAAAGACTTAATAGCCCAAAAATAAAGAAGTCATCTGCAACATACACTATAAGGCTATGCTGGCTGAGGAATTCTGGGAGCTGAAGTCCACAAGTCTTAAAGTTGTGAAGGTTGCAGACCCTTGCTCTAAGGACTATAACAGCCACTATTTAAGACAGATAGACAGAAGACTATCAAATCATATCCATGAACAACTAGCAGACAGAAAATACGATGAAAACTCCTTAATCTCACAACATGTGGACAAACTAAATCACAACTGGGGAACTGTGAATATCCCAGACCAAGTTAAATCTAAAAATAACATTCCTTCCTAAGGCTAAGAGAAAGTGACTAACCCAAGGTAACCCAGTTGGCTTTGTGCTTAAGGCAGGACTAGGACTCATGCCCTCCCAGTTTCTAGCCTGATGCCTTAACCACTACCCCAAACTGTTTCTCTCTGCTTATTTACCCACAATTAATCTGGGCTATGTCTTGATTCTTTTTTGCACGAGTATTTCTAGATCTTAACTTGCTAGAAATTGATATATGTTTTAACTAAAAGTATTCATCTGTTGAACTGTGGTTCCACTACCAATAGAAATACAACAGATGCTTTATGTACTTGGCAGCAAACAAATGTAGACATTTCTCATTCCTTACTGCATTTAATAAAGATAGGAATTTTTCAGTCCAGATTTGGTCAATCTAATGCTTCATTTAATTCCCAGAAGAATATTTCTCCAAAGATGTTACCTAACCAAGGATGGGAAACAAAGCACTTTGGACCACAGACAAGAAGAAAAGAATTCAGAAGTAAGTCAGACACAAATAGCAGCTATTGTATAGGACAGACATTTAGAATCAATTTTAGAATGCATTTTTTAAAGGCCAAGTATAACAGACAAAGACATCAGACCAACAACTTTACTAATGCTTTACCCATCATATGTAAGCATTTTAATGTGCAGAAAAAAATCTTGTGGCGGAACATTCAAAAGTATGAGACCATACAATCTCCGTTTTGACCCAGAGCTGAGAGATTACCTTGAATAATGAGATTAATGAGATTAATTCACCATGATCACCTAAGAGAAATGGTAGGGAAAGAGAGAGAGACAAGAACTCTTACAAATCCTACCTGTTTCTAGACAGAGAAGAACAAAGTGGGGTTCAGCAATAAATCAGGGTTCTGTATTGATTATTCACACATATTATTACATTTGGCTCAGACACAGTTCCGGTCTAGACACCTAAAGATAGAGAAATTGGAAAAGTAGATAGAAAAACCTATCACCTACTGTGCCATAAGTAGGCTTTCAAACAGGGGTCTATACATTATCTAAGATAGAAAGATGTCACAGAAAACAGCTTTAATTTCCAAGCTTGCTCTTTGCTCTCTGTAAAGATGAGAAACAGGTCATAAAATATACCAAACTGCCATATTTCCACTTTTTTTTCTGAACTACACTTACTCATTGTAACCCAAGAAACAAGGCACAAACATATCCTAGAATTCACTGTGCCAGCTATGATTATAGATGTGATCTATTCATGTCTCCTCTCTAAGTGGGTGGAATTCTATATCTCTACGAATAATTGTACATAGTTTTATTAAATTCTCTAGTTTTTAATACATTGATCTTTGGTTTCAGAATTTACACAGATAGAAGCATTAGCATGGCACATAATCCCAAATACTCCAAAAATTGTGAATGAATTGTAATGCATAATTTGATGGAATAAGAAAAATATTACATATATAGCGAATAGTTGCCTTAATGGCATTTAATTAATTTTTACTTAGCTATCTTTGTTTGTTTTTGTCCTAGATGTTTTGAAATGAAAATTGCTAGGATGTCACCACAGGTAAGACGGTAGTAAATTCTAGAACTATAGCTCTTGAAACCCATACAGACTGAATACTAAATCTATATACTTCCCCTTATTTCTTTCATGTTTTTCAAGCCATTGGCCTCATGTACACATGTAGAATTAGTCAATCTTCCATACAGAGTTTTCAGGAGCAGTTAGGTAACTTGGGGAGAACAGCTGTTTTAAGAATTAAGCAAAAAAGCAAGATAGAAGTTCCTTACTTTGTCTCATAGCAATAAATATTTCACCCTAGGTTTAGACAGACTTCACAAGGCGTTTATGCAATTTAACACCATGCTAGGTCACATCCAATATGTCCAGCTAGGAAAAATTGACATGAACTTGCCATTTCAATGTTTTTAATTTCCAGAATGAACTAGTTTCATGCTAATAGCATCAGTACTGTGATTTCTCTTAACACTGTCTCACAGATATAGTCTCTCATAAGCACACATTGTAATAACGCTAATGGTTAAGCCCATTTGTACTACAGTAAGACTATAAATATTGTTAAGTAGGTAGATATGTAGATAAGCTGTAGCAGAAACTCACCATATCTGCAAGGGAGATGTATAGAAACATGCCTCCAGCTAGTGCAAAAATGATGTTTGGAGCAAAGTTGTTGCCTAAAATTATGCCAAAAACTAGGCCAATATAACAGGAGCATGCTGATAAAAAATTGAAAAACAAGGCTTGCCTTGTGCTCATTCCTGCATTAAGAAGGATGACAAAATCCCCTAAAAAAAGAAATGGATGCCATTATGAGTACGTAACACAGTTATGATTTATACTTTCTCCAAGATGAATCAAAATACAGAGAGGCGGTCTGGTGTAATCCTTTAAAGGCATCCTTGATACTGGATGACTTTGGGCCAGTCGTTCTATCAGTCCTAGAATGGGAGTTGAAAAACGTCTATCTATCAATCTCCAGGACCAGCATGATAAATTACAGTCTGTAACCTTCAATGAAGAGGCTTTCATCTTGCAGTAGATTGATTCAGGATGATAATAATTCAAAATGGATTGGTAAAATGTATATGAAATGTATATGAAAACTATCATTTTCCCATTTAAATATAAAATATTTATGGATTAGGTCAGTGGTTGCGAACCTATGGCACGGGTGCCAGAGGCGGCACTCAGAGCCCTCTCTGTGGGCACGCACGCCATCGCCCCAGTCCTAGGCCTTCAGCTGGGTTTTATAAAACCTTTTCATTTTAGGCCTCCACCGCCATGTGCAAAGAAAAAGGTTCAATCAATCAGTCAATTTCAACTTCTCGGGGAAAAAAAAGATCTTGCAAAGTTGGAATTGATTGATTGAACTTTTTAGTCCCACCCAGTCTGCTGTTACCACCGCAGCCACGCCCACCCAATGGGCCACAACCACCCAATGGGCCACAACCACCCGGCACCTGACGATGCATAAGTAGGTTTTGGGTTGCAGTTTGGGCACTCGGTCTCTAAAAGGTTCGCCATCACTGGATTAGGTCTTGCTTGACAAGAAATTTCCTAAGACAGCTTATCCCAATCCTGATGCCCTTAGAGTTGGAATGCAGCTCCAGATTTCTGAATCATTATAGTTAAACGTTGAAAGCCATAATTTTTGGAAAAACTATAGTGGCTGCATTGGTTCTAGAACTCTGCCTCAGCTACGTACTTTAACCATTGAAATGGTGTAAAACATATTACCTAATTCATGAGGAAACTCTTCACATAAGATTGCTATAGATGTGCTAATTCCCTGAAGTAGGGAAAGTGTGAAAGAAGCCCCAATGGCCAATCCATCAATGAAGTTGTGCAAAGCATCGCTTAATGTGATCATCCAGGCAACTGTACCAATTTCGGACAGGGGAGGCCCACTGAAACATTTGCATGAAGTACTTTGCATTTCTTCTTTCTGCAACAACAAAAAACATGAGAGTTAGATCAAATACTTAAGTCACTGTAAGAAATGAAAGGATATGTAATTTAAAGTGTGCTTGTTTACTGATAAATAAGTCATGGAATCCAAAGTACAGGTAGTTCTCACTTAAAAACCGGTTACTTAGCTACCATTCAAAGTTATGACACATTGTTTCCCCCTTATAATCCAATTCCGGAGTTCCCACAATGGCGCGCGCACACACACACACACCATGATCACATGACCATATTTCAGATGCTCATCTTTACAGCTGGTTGCAGCATTGTGACCATGATTTATATTTTTTCAGCTGATTTCCAGCAAAAAGCGCCCATAAAAACAAAAAACTACCACCACAAAAACCTTATAAAATCAGGTTAATCATGTGGGTATTATGACTTATAACTGTCATAACTTATAATGGAAATTCTAGGCTTCATTACAATCATAAGGATTACCTATAATCATTCTCCACATACAGCAAATATTTCTTTTACAAGCACAGCATCATGAGGTCAAATTCACTTTTGATCTAGATCACAGTTGTTCTGTTTTCTCTGCAGTAAACTGCCCAAAGGAACTGGATTATCTAAAGAACTACAAAACAGGATGGATCCTAATGCCACCAGGTTTCCAGTGCTTTTATACATTTGATTCAGAAGACCATAATGTGTTGGATTCATCTTCTAACAGGCTTATCATGGACAGCATGACACCATTTTGCAAATTTTTAAAATAGGTATCAGATAATACATCAAATAATACATTTTCCTCAAAAAAGCAACTGAGCTACAGGGTAATCAATCAATGAAAAGTAATCAGAAATGAACCTGATAGAGTAGGGTTAATTTTCAGCAATAAGATAGGACTCTTTTATTCCTTTAAGCATATTATGCTGTAGCAACTTTTCTGAAAGGGTTATATTTCATATTGTTAACAACTGGAAACTCTTTCCAAGCAGCAGGGACTTTTGGAGGTGAAGCCCCTGTATTTTTTTGTCAGCCAATTAAATCTTGTCTATCTCCCTCCAAAACCTGACAGGACTATTTAAAGCAGTGTTTCTCAACCTTGACAATTTTAAGGCATGTGGATTTCAACTCCCAGAATTCCACAGCCAGCAATGCTGGCTGTGGAATTCTGGGAGTTGAAGTCCACATGCCTTAAAATTGTCAAGGTTGAGAAACACTGATTTAAAGTTTCACATAGCTTAATAAACCAAACCACAAAGGATAGCTTTCCCTTTAGGACTGTGATTTCAGAGTCAGCACAATTGTTGGATAGAAGTTACTGTTCACCTATTAATCATGCCACCTAACTTCAATAGGAAAAGTCTGGAATCCCTGGTATTTTAGGTAAACAAACTAACAAAGGAAAGAACACTCTTCACGAATTCATGTGATTTTGGGATGGCTAAGTTGAAAAAAACCCTGTCAGTTTAAAGAAATAATCCGGTGCACTTTTAAAATATGGTTAATAAGATTATTCATTATTATGGTAGTTTATTTATAACAATCAATAAAAAATAAGTAAGATCATGGGAGAATACACCAAATTTCACATACAGTACAAAACAACCATCTTGTATTGTTATGATCAGTCATCCAGTCAACCGGATGTGGATCTCATGGCCAGACTGGATTTGATATTTTTATCCTCCTGTGGGGTCCAAGCCTCAAAAAAAACAAAAAAAAGGTTTGCATGGCTAGCAGCTGCCTTGCAAAGGGCCAGACAGGATGTGTCTCATCAACAGTGGGAGGAAGAAGGCAGCAGAGGTCATCTGGGAATGGCAAGGGCAGTGAAGCACAGGGTGGCAAGGCTGACAGAGTGCAGGTGGCCAAGAGGGCAGAGTGGGGGGAAGGAGAGATAGGCAGAAGGGGGGAATTGAAGTGCCCTTCAGTCATAAGTGCAAGTGCGACATCAAGCACCCAATTTTTGACCATGTGACCATGGGAGCACTACAATGGCCATAACTTCAGGGACTGATATAAGAACCTTTTGTTCAGTGCCACTGTAACTTTGAACTGTGACATAGTTAACCAAGGACTACTTGTATGAATATTTAGCAGACATTTTATTACTAGACTTTTTATTATTGATGAACTGCATTGAAAAAATTGGATAATTTTGCAAATACTATCTAAGTTTCAGTTGGTGCATTGGAAATGCAAAATTAGGTAAATTACAAACTGGTTTTTTTACCACTGATTAATATAGCTCTACTCGGACAATAAAATTCCCGGAGACGCCATTTAAAGAACAATTTCAACATTTCAAAAATTACAGCCAATTTACTCATCAAAGTAAAAATAAAAAAATTAATTGATGTCTGACTTAATTTCCTATACCATTCTTTTTTCTTTAATCTTCTTAACTTTCAGTAATTAACAAGAAGGATTCTGAAAGAATCCATTAGAACACAAATCTTCTTGAAGCCACCTGAAAATTATTGAAAGTGGCCAACCAATAATAAATAATAAAAAGAAAACTTTATTAATAATATTAAACATCTGCCTATCCCAGGTCCTTAGGAAGGATTTGATATGTAGATAAAAATGCCAGCTGTAGTCTAAATATTTGTGTGACTATAATAATAGTAATAATATTTGCCACAATACTTATAACACTCTCAAACAGCACCTGCCTATCCCTAATCCTAGGGAAGGACTTTATGGGTGGATAAAAATGTCAAATCCAGTCTAAATATCTGCTGACTGTGTGGCCAATCATAAAATTTCTTAACACTACCTTTGTTTTAAGGCAGAAGGGAAAGTTTACAATATTGTCCTTTTTCAACCAAATCAAACATTAAAGCTTTCCAGTCTGAGCAACCATGAATCTTGTATAAACATTACATAAGATGTTAAAGGTTACAGTTTCAACTATGAATGGAATTTAAGTTTACGTGACTGTTGGAAATATTGACAGAGAGCTAAACTAACACTTCAGAAACCTAAAAGAAAGAGAAAGGATACCACCCTAAAAGTTAATTCTATTGTTATATTAACAGGACTTGCCTAAAGTCAAACAGGGACCTTAAAGTCAATGTTTAAAGTCAATGAGAAAATCTTATGAACCTGCAGATTCTCCCAACATAATCTAATATCAGCTTCCTGGTTATGCCTAATATTACTATATAGCTGTATATGCCCTAGTCAAAGGCAGAATCAGTTTCAGGGGAACGCTTTGATGGGCAAACCCAGAAAAGAGAACCCACCCCAACAGACTCTTACCTCCAATTTACATGGCATACCCAAAGGGATTATGAATAGCTACACATTTCTCAGTTTATTTGTTTTACATGTTCCACTGAGTGGAACGTGGGATATCATTTCCAATTACGTCAGATTCTTGGAATCAGTACTGGCCAAGCCCAGCTTTTACCTGAGCAGCTGCCAGATACTGTCTAGTCTACATAACTCCATAGTGTGGTATATTCAGTAGGCAGGAATGATGAAGTATGAACATATGAACCATTTTTAAACAAAGTTGAAAAAGACATGAATTGGAAAACTGCCAAAGGTTAATAAGAAATATATATATAAATGTGGAGTGAACGATAAACGTAAATTCAATTTTAAAACTATTATCAACAAAGAAAAGATCAGCAATCCGCTCTTTGCTGGAAATGCTGTGATAAACCGGCAAGACATGTTCATTCATACCTGTCCAGAAATCACACTGACATTATCGAAACCCAAGTTTCCATTAGCTTCTGCTACTGCTGGATTTGCATAGCACATGGTTCCATTAACTGGTTTGATTGATTCTGCAGGAGCAGGAGGCGCAGAACACCTTTCAGGAAGTTTCAGTTCTTCGGATTCAAAATGGCTGTGACCCATCTAAAAGGGAACCAGATGAAACAATTCAGGAAGGAATCAATGGACTTCAATGAAAAGATAGCTTTAGAAATAGAAGAGACAGAGAGAGAGAGAGAGAGAGAGAGAGAGAGAGAGAGAGAGAGAGAGAGAGAGAGAGAGAGAGAGAGATCTTATCCAAATGCACTTTTTTCCAATACATATGAAAATAGCTGCTTACTGTACTACAAATATAAATGTACAGTAAATATATCTCGATGTGAGAAATTTGGCATACTTAGCCAAAAGTGCACATCCTGGGTCTGAGGAACACATATGACTCTTGAAAGCCTTATGTACAATCTTCAGAACCCTCCAAAAGTTACCACAAAATTGTTGTTTATAATGGGACAGAAAGGAAAACCATTCAATACCTTGCAGAAAATCACATCCTGTACTTAATGTATGTGATTAAATGAAAATGAAATATAATTGTAAATTAAATCCAAATTAGCTTTTGACCTGGCCCTTTTTTTAACAGATCCATGCATGGTTAGTGTATAACATTAATATAGTAGATCAAAATGTTTTTTGTCTTTTCAACCTACATGTCACACATCAATGGCATTTCCCTTCCAATCTCATTCTGGCTGGAGAGAAAGAACTAGCTTCTACTCAGTCTCTGCTTCTCTATAATGAACTGGATTGAGTGAGATCTATTGTCTGATGTGGTCTTTGGTTAAAACACAGCATCAGGTTGGGGTTTTTTTTGCTACTTTTGACACACTTAAATAAACTTAATCATCTCTAGCAGTGAAAAACAGCCCTTTAATTCAATCCTGCTACCCAACTCACCTGACTATGGGTTTTCAATAACATTTTAAGAACTCTTTCCACAAAGAATAAGATGTAGAATCCACCAAAAACTGCAACTGCTTTGTCAACGTAGTTATCTACTTTGGGATCAAATCCAAAGGCCTAGAACAAAAATATTAATAATAATTCCATATCATTTGATATTTCTGTATTCTTTTTTTCATTAACAGTATTCACTTTTTCATTATATTCATTCAGTAAATTTAACCCGAATTTACTTTATACTGTAACTCACCTAAACTAAATCATATATATGTCACCATTTGATAGGCCTGTCCCATAAAAATGGTTGCCTGTTCTATATTTAAATATCTACTCCAAACTGATTTTTTAATCAATCTTGCCAAGTAATTAATCCACAAAATGTACATGTGGGTCACAATGAATGCTGAACAGGATAATTTGGAAATAAATTGCAGTAGCCAATTCTTATTACATTTCACCTCTCCTGTGGACTTTGGGAGTGCTGTGGAAATCAGGAGATTCAGGCAGTTCAAATAAAAATTTATTCAAGGTTGAACTGTCTACAAGAATCTGAACAATTAACAGTCAAGAGAAATTAGTAGGAGTTAAAGGAATTCAAGGTGGACTCATGATGCGTTTGACCCCTCCCTCCAGCTCAGCCTGGTCACCTCCTATATGGACTCTATTCGTCCAACATGCTTAACCAGTTCAGCCACTAACCCAATCAATTTTTCTTACCAATGGTTCTGGCAACACATATCATCATTTGACAAATAAAAAACTTCCCTTCTTCTTTCCAGGAAATACCTGAACAATCTTACCAAAGCTTCATGACATCACCAACCCCTTTTCCCTTGGCAGACAACCACAGACATGCCTTGGTGACTGTATGTTAATCAATGTTTTCAAATTATGTTCTATTTGCCAGGCCACTGCCAATGGACATATGATATTAATATGTTCTCCCTTCCACTTCCTGTCAGAATGGTAATTCATCTTTTTTAGATGGGGAATAGTGGTTCAACTCTAATCTATCCCCTTAAAGGAGTTTATGGTTGGAGGAAATGGAGAAGAAAGGGAATGACTACAAAGGTGTAATATTGAAGAGCATCTTTCTGGATGCTCAGTCTTAAGGGAAAACATAGAATATGGTTATATTCCCACCATTTTTGTCTACCTTTTCCTTACCTCTGGAATAAGTTGAAAAATTGCATTAGAGAAGAGTGTTCCAATGGCCAAACCTACGAAGTACGTTAAAATCTTAGGGAAATAGTCCTTCTTTAAAAGAGGCGTTAAAACGAATCCAAGAAGTGACGCAAGGCTGATTATAGTCACAGCAAGGAACCCAAAGCCCCAAACTGTAAAAAGAAAAAAAAATCATGACTTAGCTCATTTACTGACCATTCAAAGTTACAACACCACTGAAAAAAGTGACTTATGACCATTTTTCACACTTACAACCGTTGCAGCATCCTCATGGTCACATGATCAAAATTCAGATGGCAACTGACTCGTATTTATGATGGTTGCTGTGTCCCAGCATCATGTGATCACTTTTTAACCTTTTGACAAGCAAAGTCAATGGGGAAACCAGATTCACTTAACAATTGTGTTACTAGCTTAACAACTGCAGTGATTCATAACAACTGTGGCAAGAAAAGTCATAAAATGGGACAAAACTGACTTAACAAATGTCTCACTTAGCAACAGAAATGTTGGACTCAATTGTGTCTATAAGTCAAGGACTACCTGTAATATTAGTAAGTTTGGCAGAAAAATTACAGAAA